AAACGGAGAATCACATCAACTGAATGATTCAGTGAAGGATGATAGGAAAATGCCTTGATTACTTGCATCAACTGAATGATTCAGTGAAGGATGATAGGAAAATGCCTTGATTACTTGTATGTCATGATAGCCTACTTACCACGTACAAAAGAGTGCAATCCAGGGAATAGAAGCTTTGGGTGTTCCTCACTGCTACATAAAACCTCTCAAGAAGGTGCCATTTTTTTTATTTGCACATCCCACCATCCAACCGGGGGAATGCATTCCCTGTTAAATTTCCCACTACTATAAAATAGTACTTCTGAGTTGTGTCTTCAAAACTACAGATTTTCTTACCCAAAGTTCTTACAAAACATTGAAACTTTTGGAAGATTCAGTGATCTTCAAATTGGGGCGTTATCAATGAAACATTTGCAAGAAAACAACCAAGCTCAGAGAGCAGCAAGGACCAACAAGTATTTCACTTGAACTGCTGAACTTCTGAACTGCTTTTAAGTGTTTCAGATGCTTTGAAATAGGCCAAACTTAGGATGCAAGTAGAGGTGAAAGAATTAATTCATTATAATGATCAAACTAGCCATTATGGTAAGAGCAAGGCTGCTACCAAAAAAAGCAGAGGTTGTGCGCTGAATCTCCCTTCAATAATACTTAGTAAAAAAAAATATTTAAAAGATTGTTAACAATCTCTTCTTCCCTGCTTTTATTATTGGTAGTTACCGATAAATGGCTAGCACAGCATTATCATGTCCAATTTTCAGTATATAATATTCAGTATGTCTTTGCAGGTATGGAAAAGAGCAGGCTAATCTTCCTAAACATGAGTCTTAAAATAAAATAAAAAAATTAAGTGAAACGGTTCATTACAAAAAGAAAAAGAAAGACCTAACTTAATTCACTTTTATATTTTTTCTTGGTGACCTTGTTTTAATGGCAGAAGCAATCCAGCTATCGTTTTTCCTCACTTTTGATTCTCTTTTGCATGCTGGCAATATACCACGTAGGAATATTTTTTTATACATTACAGTAACCACAAAGCAGCTGGGAAGCGTTTATTTGTCTTTGCTGCCTTTATGGCATCTTCTCCAGATAATAGTGCAATCGGTCAATAGTTTACAGCTGTACACACCCGTTTCTTTTCTACTCCAACTTTTTTGCTGGGAAAACCAAAACAGTCAGAGAGACAGAAAATTTCCAGCATCTTGGCAATCTCTTGGTGCCTGGACTTCAAATGCCAGAATTTCTTAGCCAGCATGGCCATTGATGAGAATTTTGAGAAATGAAGTCCACGCATCTGGATATTGCCAGGTTGAAAAATTTAGACAGACTGTCAAGGATCATATCGACTATGGACATTATGAGAAAGAGATTGTCTTTTGATAAGCATAGACTGTTTTGACTTGCAAAGGGTACCCAGGGGAAACAGTGGTTGGTTTGGGGCTACTTCTAATCCAGGGTTGTCCAACCTTGGCAACTTTAAGAACTATGGACTCGTCTGTGGAGATTCTCAGTGAAGAATTCCCAGAAAGTGGCCTCAAGAGTTCCCAGGGAGAGTGCTAACAACCAGATGACTGCAAATAGCAATAGCACTTAGATTTATATACAGCTTCATAGTGCTTTTACAGCCCCCTCTAAGCAGTTTACAGAGTCAGCGAATTGCCCCCAACAATTTGGGTATTCATTTTACTCATCTCAGGAGCATGGAAGGCTGAGTCAACTTGAGCCTGGTGAGATTTGAACTGCCAAATTGCAATTAGCAGAAGTAGCCTGCAATACTGCACTCTAACCACTGTGCCACCTTGGCTCTGGATTATGATTCTTCCAAACACTTCCCTATCCTCTCAGAACTAATCCTTCCATCGCCCCACCATCCTGCCAGAATCAATGAAGCTTCTTGGATGAGAAGCGAAATGTCTTCCTCTTCCTTAAGGGGGAAAAAAACCAATCTAGTTGCCGTTTGAAAAAACACCTTTGAGACAACTGTGAACTTCAAGTCCCAGAATTCCCCAGCCACTCATGCGGGGGGATTCTGGGATGTGAAATCCACAACTCTTAAAAGTTGCCAAGGTTAGCCTAATCCTTAGGCAGGAGCAACTGCACTGTAACCAGTGAAGTTAATCCACGTTCATTAGATTCCCAGAAAAAAAATTAAAAATTTAAGCAGATTTTTTTTTTAAACGACTTTAGAAAAATAATTTGTATAATGATGTCAATGAAGAATAGGGCTTCTCACACCTGGTCCCACTTTGCTGTGGGCATCCTTTCCAAGGAAGATTAGTTGACTGGATCAAGCGATCCCTTTAATGAGTTCTTCCCATTTATTGTTTCATGAGAACACGACTAGAATATAAACTATGCATGTTTCTTTCATAATTGTGGTATATTTGTGGATAACTTAAATTGCTGATGGGCTGATCTTTGTTCAATAGCTCTGCAGAAGCAGAAGATTTAGTGTTCATGTTACAAACACAGTTGCTGAGAATACGGATGTCTGGAAATGTCCTTATTTTACTCTTCTAGGTAACCAAAAACAATTGTAGAGAAATGGAATTAAGACTGTCTTTGGCTTTGATTAGATAAAGATCTCTGATTCAGTTTTAAAAACTCGCAAAGCTTTGGAAGAAACATAAATTTTAAAAAAATAAGCTATATGTAAGACAGGTTCTGTAACTGCTAGGCAGAGCAAAGAGCTTCATCTTATTTGCTCAACTGTTCCAAAATCGAGGAAGAGGAAATTTGAAATGACCCTTCTATCCAACAAACTATAATTTCTCTAACTTCTTGGTAAATTAGAGCCCCTCGACACCTGAAGTGGTAAAAGTGGAAGTAAAGAAGATAAACTAGAAAAATTATCTTTTGTTCAGCTATGAACTATGGGCACAAAGAAGAGTCCCTAACATAGTATCTGCTACTACGTGTATCAAAGCAGAGACATCACCCTGCCAACAAAAATGCTTATAGTGAAGGCTATGGTTTTTCCAGTTGCAATATATGGCTGTGAAAGTAGAATCATAAGAAAAGCTGAGCGCCAAAGAATAGAGGCCTATGGTGCTGTAAAAGACTCCTGTGAGTCCCTTGGACTGCAAGGCGATCAAACCAGTCAGTCCTAGAGGAGATCAATCCTGACTCTTTAGAAGGCCAGATCCTGAAGATGAAACTCAAATACTTTGGTCACCTAATGAGAAGGAAAGACTCACTGGAGAAGAGCCTAATGCTGGGAAAGAATAAGGGCAAAAGAAGAAGGGGACGACAGAGAATGAGGTGGCTGGATGGAGCATGATGGTAGAGGACAAGAAGGCCTGGAAGAACGTTGTCCAACAACAACAACTACATGTATCAAGACTGACAGTGACAGAATTCCCAGGCAAAAGATCATTGGGTTTCTTCAAGAAGTAAGTTTCTTTCTTCCCTTTACTTACTCCTGACTCTTTCTTATTTCTCCATATTCTCCAGCATCCTTCCTTCCATATAGGTCTTCCAAAAAACTTTGCAAGTCTTTGAAAGCACCATCCACTCATTATATCCTATAACCTTTCTTTGCAGTTCTATCAAATGCCAAAATATATATTGACCCCTCCCAGGCCAGCCCCAAATTAAAAGTTTCAAAATATTCTACTTGCAATTAATACCAGCCAGCAATCTCTCCCAATACACAGGCCTGGTAAACTACTTTGGGATTCCTTGGTGCAGATTGAAAAGCAGTCTATCAATGCCATCCTAAACAAAATGAGGCCAAACGTATAATTTCAAAAAGGAAACTCTGAGCACAAAGAGAAATTTTCTTATATATGTTGAAATCACGGAAATTGGGAGGAAGTTATATTCACTTGCTTATGTACGTTTTTACCACTCAATATTTAGTTTGACCCATAACGTCATACATTGTAGAAGAAGGAATTTTAAAGGTGATAATATCCTATTAAAAAAGGCCAACTGCAAAAATTTAGAAAAGAAATGGCTGGCCACACATCACAACTTATAAAAAAGGGAAGCCATGAGTATATGGGCTGTGAGCATGATTTGATGGGTTCCACCACAAAACCGCGTTTGACTAAAGCGCGCTCGACGAAACCGCGTAGCTGTCATCACAGCGCGATGAAAAAAGCACGCTGTGAACGCTAAAGCTAAAATTAATCCCTAAACCTAAACCTAACCCTAACCCTTAACCTAACCCTAAACCTAAACCTAACCCTAACCCTTAACCTAACCCTAACCCTAACCC